GACGATACATATTGGAATGATAGTACAAAGGAACATATGATCAGTTTGAATATATACTGAAAAATAGAGGAACACATCTCATGTTTGTATATATAGTACATATGCCACATGTTATATGAGAACCTAATATAAAAAAACTTAAATTATACCAGAATATACAGATTGAATCTAATTTTTTTTTTTATAAAAATAAATTTAATATAACAAACATGTTATAGTGGATTTAGAACTACTTAAAATATACCATAATACACTGGAGAATAGAGATACTTAAAATAAACCATAATATACCAAACTCCACTGGATTTAGAAATACTAAAAATACACCATAATATACCAAACATGTAACAGTCTGAAAGAAATCCATTCAAAACAGGTGATATAAAAATACTTAAAATATTCCATAAAATACTGGAAAACAGTTACAGTGGATTTAGATAAATATATCAACATATATTTTTAATATACCAAACGTTTACACATGTTGTACTCCACATATTATTACTGATTATATACTATAAATATAATATTATGTAACAAGTGTCTGAACACACATAGTCTGAACACACATAATATTACTGATTATATACTATAAATATAATATTATGTAACAAGTGTCTAAATATAATATTATGTAACAACTGGTTCAATATAATCTGAACATATACTATAAGATGCAATAACAATTGGCATATTTGACCACATTCAATCATAAATAAATATAGAACCTTTGTCATTGTTTATATAAGTGGTATATATGAACACACAAAATCTGAACATATACTATACACACAGTTTATGCCAAATCTTAGAAGCAATAAAAAATGGTGTATATGACCACATATATAGTATATATGTAGCACATATGTATTTAAAAAAAATAAATGAACAATGACTTACTAAGAATTTTTCTTTGAACAAAGCAAATTCCGCAAAAACCCTTCTGGAGAAGTCGTGGAAGGCTTCCTTCAGGTCCTGGACATCAGCAGTAAGTGTGTCGAGGCGGGTTATAACATCATCGTCATTGGTCTGCTGCGGTGTGGCGCTTGAGGGATTCTTTTTCCGAGTGAACTCATTTTTTTTTCTGAAGAATGAGTCCAACAAAAGAGTTTGTTTTTCGGCCTCGGTTGGAACGATGTTATTGAACTGTACATAAGAAAAATTAAATTGTTATCCCGGCAGATATATGATAGATATAATAAATCATTATTGTTTACCTTAGAGTGATGGAGATTAGAAAAGGTTCTCTGCGCAAAAATACGAGTGCACGGTTCATGAACTTCCCACTTTATTATCCTCGGGATATCGTGTACACCAACGTAGGTTGCAACTACACCATCAGCCATGTCGCAAACCTCATAAAACCATGCCTGAAGGGCCAATATCAGACCATAGCAACGATACAAGTTACTTCCGTCATCCTTATGAGATATGTGCATTTGCTCTCTGGTTTGAATGGATTTCTTCAGGTAGTGTAGCGTAAACTGAAACACAGTGGTTCCCCACGAGTAATCATCGCAATCTGGGCTGTCGATCATGTCAACAAAACAGCGGTCTATGCGGAGAGCATCTTGAGAGCCCATGAGGAAATTTGCTAATAGATGCAACTTAGCAAATTTCACCGCATCTTCGTCACTCTTCCACAATTTTTTTTGAAACTGCCACCTGATGTGGCTCCGACTTAATTCAACACCGTCAAAATACTTGTCGTGCAGACCATTGGAAATCTTTGGAATATTCAATTTCTTACTATGCCCAGTGCACTTCAAGCCAGTCACGACAGCAAATTCCTCTATACCAAACCGGAGGAATTTCCCTCCGAAGTCAAACCACATCTCATCTGTCCTACTCTGATGAACCTCGCGTAAAAGTATATAGTTTATAAGCTGGTTCTGGACAATGCAGTGTGGGAGATCCAAGAAATTCCCAAAGGCTGACATCCGAAAAACTTCCAATTGCTCCTTGGAAAGATTATTCTTGATGTCACTTATCGTGCATTTTTCTTTGCTATTGTCGTTGCTGTTTTGCACCTTGACGTTTATATCCCTTGGATGCGGGATAAGCAATTCCCATTCCTGAAAAATAATCAAACGAAAAATTATAGATTTTTATATACACGATATGTCTGTATACTAACATATACTAACCATATTGTTCAGAAATTGTTCACAGCTTAGCACAGATATACTAACATATACTAACCATAATCTGAGGTATAAAAATGATAAATAAAACACAGACATATACCAAATATATACTCAGTTTTGAATGCTTATTAGTTTTACATGTCCTGTGAAAACACAGACATATACCAAATAAAACACAGCTTAGCACAGATATACTAACATATACTAACATATGTCTGAGGTATACTAACATATACTAGCATATACTAACATAAATAAATTGTTCCCAGCTTAGCACAGATATACTAACATATACTAACCATAATCTGAGTTATAAAAATGATAAATAAAACACAGACATATACCAAATATATACTCAGTTTTGAATGCTTATTAGTTTTACATGTCCTGTGAAATTCTCAACATTTATTCTTGGAGCAGAGGGTGAAATTAAAAAATGAGAAATAAAACACATACATATAGCAAAATCGCAAGTCAGTTTTGAATTACTATACTAAACATAGATATACTAATCTGAGGTATAAAAGGAGCAGCACACTAAAGAACAATATAGGACTAAAGAACAATATTAGTCAACCAAACAGAGATATCAACAACCTAGGACTAAAGAACAATATTAGTCAAACATACAGTGTGAGGACCATGGCAAATTATTCGTTCACATACACCAATTAACCGACAAAATGAACCAATTCATAATCAATAAACAACAATGATGTTTCACGTTTAAAAAAATAATAAAAATTAAAAAAATGCAATGTACACAAAATTTTACCTTATACACTATCTGTTTTTGAACATGTTGAGGGTCGGTGTTCGGTTTTCTCCGTTTCTTGTTCAAATTAACTTCAGTTTTCTCCTTTTGAAGCCTTTTTTTTATTCTTTTGTTGAAAATTTCCACCGGGGATTCCTCTTCGCTGAAATTATCTTTGCTATCGACGTCTTCGGGTTGGATTTCATCTTCGAAGTCGGTGTCAGATGAATTACCCTTCTCAGTGGAATTGGGGATTTTGGATTTAGGGTCCCGCCGCATGTGTTTTGGATTTTTACGGCCGTCTTCGGATTGGAAATCATCTGAATCAGGGGATGGAACTTGCTTCTTCATCCTTGCGTTGCCGGCTGGCTTGCGATTAGGGTTGGGGTTCGTTTTCTTCTCAAAAACTAACTTCTTCTGAATGAGTTTGGGCTTTGATTTTGAAATGTTCTTCCGAAGCCGGGAACTTGACCTTATCTGTGGTGTATCGTCGGCTTCTTTCACCGTTTTTTTACCAGGATCTCGTGCGATTTTGGTTTTCGCCATTGACGGAGGAAGTTTTTGTTTTCCTTCTGAATGAGATTTCGTTTATTCCGAGAATCGCGTGAGAGAAGTGTGCAGCGGTTTTCTTTTGAGGATTTAATTTCCCGTAATGTAAGCCCATTATCCCATTATCCTTAATTATCTGATAACTGCAAAATTATAACCTTTAGGTATATTAGCAAATTTTTATTCTTAGTATAGTAATTACATAAATAATTAATTAAGGGATGTAAAATTATAAAATATTAAGAAGGATTAAGTAGGGGGTGCAATTTCCTCTTACGACTTTGTGTCATCGGATGGGCCTGCCACAAAATAAACCCATTAAGCAGCGAATAGCGTTTGTGAGTGGCCCATTTAAAACCCTAAATCTATATTTAATTCATATCAAATAAAAACCCTAAATCTGCTGGCCTAAACACCACAACGCCTCTTCTTTCCAGACTCGCATCCCATTGCATTGCCACTCACTCAAGATGGTGAGATGAGGCTCTGAATTTTTTGTTTTTCACCATTGATGTGATTTTCTCCGCCGTTTTCTTTTTATTCATTTTCCTTGATTTTGTCTAAATGTGTTTGCAGGCACCAAAGAAGGATAAGGCTCCTCCGCCATCATCGAAGCCGGCGAAATCAGGTGGTGGCAAGCAGAAGAAGAAGGTCATTTGCTTGAATGCAGCTTTTTATAAAGCCTCTTCTTTTTTTTTTTTTCTTTTCAGTTGTGTAGAACGAGATTTGATTTAGTGTGAAAATGTAAATATTGTAGAAGTGNTAGGTGTCATTAATGCACAGATCTGTTAGATGGTGTTGTTGTATATTATGATATTTCATCACTCTGAATTTGGTTGGTTCTGTGGTTATACCCTGGTGCATGTCTTATTTCTACGACCTATTTTAATGTCTTAAATAATTGTAATAGTACATTCACACCCTTTCTGTACGAGGATGAATAGCTTTGGCTTATTTAGCAGTTGTGACTATTTTTAATAGCATGAGTTTTGCAAGTGTGTTTTGTATGTAATTTTCTAGTCTGAGTTTTTGTTCTGAGTTTATTCTGTCCAAGGATTAAATTTTTTGTGCTTAGTGTTAATTCCGTATTGTTTGTGTAACAGATAAGTGGATCACTGGCGAGGAAAGCTATTAGGGAGTTGATGGCCAGAGGCCTGATCAGAATGGTGTCTGCTCATTCAAGCCAGCAGATATACACTAGGGCCACCAACACTTAGAACTTAATTTGAATGGGTTTTGTCCTTTCATTCGACATTGTTCTTGAATGTGTTGGGTTTGAGATATCTATGTTTACTTGAATTTATTTTTGTTTAGAGAAAAGCATCTTTGTTGAGATCATTGTATCCTAATATTTTCTGTGTTGGAATTGTTTTTGTCAACTCTTTGAGCCTACTATATCATATATCCTTTTATGCCACTTGTGAACGAATTGTTGTCAATGTTATATGTTTACTTCACACCCGATTTTTATGTGTTATTGTGGTTCGGAATTGCAATTTCACATGAATTGTTTGTTAAGTGAAAGCTCGTTCAACTTATTCTTCATTGGACCTATATTTAATATCTGCTTCAAAATTTCTAGTAATTTTGAGTGCCCATGTGTTTTCTAATTAAGAAGGTTGCTTGCTGATAAAGGGGTTGGCAACATTGGACCAAAATCATTATGAAACCAACAGTTGTCTCACTCCTTTTCTATTTCGTGAATTTGGACACATAATTGTATCATGTGATTCTAATGTTGAAGCTTTTGCTGTTGAAGCTTTTGCTCAAGGAGGCACATGAGTTGACGACACTCTCCTTTGTCATCTATTTGCCGGTCTTTTACTACTTTATTACTGATCATAAAAATCTTACACTACACACGGACCATAGTAGACATAATTCCACCTGCATTAGTCAGTTCAACAAAACAAAACATGCTTAGAATTTCCATCACGTAGAAGATACACCAGAGACAAAACAATAAACGAAACAAAGGAAAAGCGTAAAACTCACTCACTCGCAAACAATTTTTATGCCTTTTTCAAAAAGTCTTGGTGTTCCAAACAGTGATAGGGCCTCTCTTTTGAATCTCACATGCTGGTAACCCACGCATAGCCTTTGCCATTAGAGCCATAGCACCAATGCTTGGGAACCGCTTATTTTCAAGCTTATCCCCATTCGAGTCTCCAGACGCATCAGTTTTCTTATCTGTGACTCCCTTTGCCAGCCACCTTTTAATCCAAGCATTCGAAAGCAACAACTCCTTACTCTCTTTCCCTCCACACACCATATCAAACTCCTCATCTTCATTTTTATCACCCGAAATCTTTTTCTTACCTTCATGCTTGTTATCTGGTCCCGAGCTAATAATGCCACTATTAAGTATATTTCTAAGTTGGCTTCTCATTTTGTTGTCATCAGAAAAAATTTCATCTGGCCTCGATATTTTTGTGCCTCGTGAGGAAGGGTTTAAGTTTGGGGAGCTGGTCTTGAGACGTTTGACCCATCTATTAGACGGGTCCAAAATGTCAGGGTTGATAGTACTGGGTTTTGATATTATGTGCTCAGCATTGGCCAAGAGCATGTCCATTTCAAGGCTCTGAGTTTTTGAGGAGTAAGGACAGACATTTTCGGTTTTGGTCCACTGATGTTCGGTTTCTCTTGAGGGAACAGTGGCCTTTGGGGGTCGGGAATTCAAGTCGATGTTGAAAGCCTGTGAAATATACCAATGATCATTACACTGCTGTATAGTTTACAATTTTTTATATACAGATGGATTTGGATGAAGAACCCAGACAATTCATGTACTCAGCCAACTAACTTTTTATTCTTCTGCTATGAATAGGTAGTTAACAAATTTCAATCTATGAAACACATTGAGTGGTTACAAGTATCAGAAAGTTTCTACGTAATTAGCAGCAGTACATGGGCTTCCACTAGCTAGGAATTATTGATGTGTTATAGGAGCAAAAGGGCTTTTTGTCAGATTCCATTTTTTTCACAAACCCCAAAAGGAGAAAGATAAATAAATTTGTGGGGGTGGTGTAAATAAAAAAATGCAAGGGTGGCTAATTACGAAAATAACTCATGGATTTCTAAAAAAGAACAATTGATGTCTAATTTGTCTTAAATGTTAAAGGGACAAGTAATTATGTTCAGAAATGTTTTGAGATGGTTTTGGTTATGAAGAGACCAAGTGTGAATCTGTGATACAAAATTAAATCTCAAAAGGATTTTTACCCAGAACCATGTGGTTTTCTTGTAATAAGCTAAAAGCCACAGTGAGAATACGCAACTTTCACCTAAATGAAAGTTCTCTTTCATGTAGATGTGTGCACTTCAATGAAGTAATGTTAATACAAAAACCCAAGATGTTTCGGGACCAAATTGCAAATAATCTTGTGACACAGTAGTAAATGTGTTCTACATTGACTTGACTCTGAATGCTGAGGACTTACTGGCCTCTGACTAAGACTAATTTCATGCAAATATTGGAAAAATACCACACACATAGTTCAAACAACACATGATTCTAACTTTACATTGGACATATATGTGGACAGAGAGAGAAAATGGCTATACACAACTACACGGGAAAAACAAATGAATAAAATACTTGAATTGGAAAGAAAAGTATAGGCGTACCTTAATTGATGGGGTGGAAGTTGTGCCTACAGGAATGGATAGAGAAAATTGCTTAATAATACTAATAAACATATAAACTGAATGCAAATACTCACGAGCCATATAAATAACAATACATTAATGAATTCCCTTTCTAACAACACAACCAAGGTGAAAGGCAAATTTAGACATTTGCTCACCACACAGAAAAATACTACAATGATGCAAATGTTGGACATACCGGGATTTACTTTTTCATCCTTCAGAAAATCCATCTCCATGGTCTCTGTCTCAGCTGATGCTTCAGTCCTTACAGTAACTTTACACTCATCACTCTCAGCATTTTTGCCCCCTTCACTACCAGATGAACTACTCAGAGGGCTAAGGTTTACGCCTCCTTTACCTCGACTTGAAAACGGCAAAAGGTTGAAATGCACAGGCATGTTAATCTTATTAATTTCAACTGCATTATTTTTCTTGAACCAATCACGGCTGCACAATAAGGATGAACTAAAATCCTCACGGCATGCACTAATGGAGGTTTCATTTGCTAGGCTCATGCTGCTTGAAACCACAACAGATTTTCCTTTCCTTTTCTCGAGGTAGTCATAATACGGCACAATACGTGTTTTCTTTGAGCCCAGAGGATTATTCGAAATAGCTTCTCCAGAAGAATTAACATTAGAAAGAAACGGAACACCAGCACTTGCTGAGCTTTTTGAACTTGTTCCAACGTCCTCACAGGCGAATTCAAGAGGTTTGATGTCCCCACAAACGGCTTGTATTGGACGAGGAGTGTGATAATCCCTCTCAGCTGATGTCGTGTTATTAGCAGTGGGCATCCAATGAGCTATCCAAGGGTCGTGGTAAGATTGCGGGCTTCTTCGGGTGCTATTGTTGATTGAGTGCCTAATTTGTTGAGACATGATGGATCTTGTTGGGTGTCAACAACCACAACCATACAAATTCTAGAGGAGGAGCAAATTAAAAAATGGGCGATTAATTACACGGCAATACAGCTATGGAATTTTCATTGAAGTTATCTTGAGTGTTCCTATAAAAAGTAGAATGAAAGAAGAAAGAAAGAAAAAATTCTGCTCCTAGTTTGATAGAATCTACACAAGATGTTCAAATTAGCAGATCGTTTTTCAACCAAATTAAGGATTTCAGCGCAATTAAGAAATTTAAGCTCTCGTGAACTGAAAACCCCAACTTCATAAAGCAAATCAATAACTAAAGAAAACAAACCACACACGATAAGCGAAAAATGGAACACTAAAAATCAACTGTTATGTCGCTCAGTTCACTTACGGCTAAATATTCAATTTTGTTTTTCCCCTATCAGAGATCCGATTAAAACAAAATTGAAAAATAATGCATCTAGGACAGAAAATCAGACAACCGAAAATCACCAAACATACAATTTTTGTGAAGACTTTAAAATGACGAGTACCTGTTCAAAAGCTCAACTTCGTGCTTATCCAGTTAGTTACACGGATTTTCTACGGAATATAAAACATCATCATTATTTTGGCCGCGCAAGGCCGCGCGAAGAGTATTCAGGAATCGAACTCCGACTCCGTATGTAGCGTAGGTTGACGAGTGGGAGAAAAGATGATTAAAATACTTTTTTATATTGTTTTCCGCACTTTGTGTGATTCTCAAGCACGGTAAATATACATACGCAGGTGTGTGTATCTCATCGAAAAAAAAAAAAAAAG